GCTGACCTACTTCTGTCCGCCCCTCCACCTCATCGAGAAGAAAGTGAAGGGCGAGAAAGTGGCCACTAGCAGCGGAACCGCGAGCAGAGACCTGAGCATTGAGCAGGTCATAAAAAGCCCCAACGGACTCAGTGTCACGCTGAATCTTGAGGCTTCTTCTGCGAACAAGCTGCAAATTCTGCCGATTGTCAGCATCACTAACGAGGCTGGATTGCCTCTGGAGCAACCCGTCTATGCGCCGCTCACGCAGAACAACTCAATGCTGATGCCGGCCACCTACGTCCTGCGCCTCAGTAAGCCGATGCCCGTCTGCATTGAGTCTCTACGGGCTCTGGGCCTGCCGGGCCTCACAAGCAATGCAAACGAGGAAACGCCGACAGTAATGAATCTAATTGTGCAAACGGCCTCCAGGCAGTTGATCAAGAACACCCAGAAGGGCTTGTATGTGAATCTGCCCAAGGAGACGCACTGCTACTTCTTTACGGACAACCACAGACTGAAAGGCACCATGATCTCGTCCCTACCATTCACGGAGCCTGCGCAGGTACCTAAGATAATCGCGTTCCTCAAGAAGCAGGCGCTCTTCTACACGCTCCTCTCCAGCTGCATCAGGGAGCAGCAGAAGCAGTACAATGGTGGGTAGAACCTCTGGGAAATTGCATAGCAACAATCTAATATCCGAGTGCATTTGTTACAGACATGGACAGCACCGTCATCTTGGAGGTAACCGCTGTCTCGCTCAGTCTGATCACAGTGGAACTGCAGCATCCGTACGAGGAGTCGCTGGCCACAGTTGACTTTCTATTGGAGGACGGCCAGGTGACCTGCACCATTTACTCCGTCAACGACGAATACGAAGCGCTCTCCGAGAAGCTTACCAGAACAGTGCGGCAGGTGCTCTCAATTCCGATGGTTATATACAAGCTGCTTAAGTGCTGGGATGAGGAGCATCAGAAGAAGATGCACGGCAACTTGGCTCCAGGCGCTGGCACAGGGAGCGGCGCATCGGGCGGATTTAGCGGCACAGGAGGTGGAGTTGGCGGAGGAAGTGGCGGGATGCATGGAGCAAGCAACTTCGGACAGTTCGCCATCGATGCAGCTGGAGAGGGCGGCAGTGGAACTGGCGGCGGATTTAGTAGTCTTGCCAATCTCAAAATGGACTCAAAAGTGCGATCCCTGGCAGATGCATTCGCCGCATCTACTTCGGCTGCTGCGGCTATTGCTGGCCTCATTAGTTTGAAGCGGGAAACTGATCCGCAGTCAAGTGGAGGAAGCAGTCCTGTCCCCCCGTCTAGCTCTGGGCTGGATTCCAAGGCCACCGAGCACGAGATCGCCGACAAGTACAAAAATATCTGGAAAGACAAAACGCCCAACCTGAAGCATTGCGTTAGCATCACGCCCATTGCTGGCGATGGCAAATCTCCACTACAGCAGCAGCAGCAGCAACAGCAACAGGTGGACGTGCAGCGCACGGGCGGCATCGAGATCATACCACTGAATGCGGCAGCCAGTGTGGGCGCCACGCCGAGCACGGGGTCTGCAGCTACAACAATCACCATCACCCCTATTACTGGAGGTGCCAAAGAGGCGGGGAAAGAGGCGAAGAAGCCAATCCCCACTGGAGGTGCTGTCAAGCGACCCCACGAGGGCACCTCCTCCTCGAGCTCGAGCAGCGGCACCGGCAGCAGCGCCTCCAGCGACGCACAGAAGGAAAAGAAGCGCAAGAAGAAGCGGGACGACTCGCCCATGGGGCCTCCAGAGAAGGTGTATTCGCGCCAGAACTCGCCAGCCTCTGGCGGGATGACGGAAGCCTCAGCAGGGGGAGGAGTTGCGCGCAAGTTCTCGTCGCCCTCAACTTCGTCTTCATCCTCGCCCAAGGGAGGCAGTGCCTCGGCTGCAGCTGCCCTGGGCCTCATGGCCGGCCAGCCGTCGGCTCGGCCCAGCCCCAAGCATTCCCCGGTGTACAGCAGCCCAAAGCACAACAGCAGCAGTAACACGGCCTCGAACAGCCCCAAGTCGCCGTTCGGGACGCTCTCGCCCAAGCACGGATCCTCTGGCAAGCCGAGCATGTCCACTCTCAAGAGTGCAACAGCGGCCACCGGTCTGAGCCTCAGTCCCAAGGGTGAAAAGTCCATCACGGGAGCTGGAGGCGGTTCGAGCATTCCCTTGTCCACTGCTGGCTCTGGCTCTGGGTTAGGGTCAAGTGGAAATCCCTCTATGCTGCGCCCCGTGCCACCGCTGGCCAGCAGCAGCCAGTTGCCCGCTGCTATAAAGAAGGACAAGTCCATCGCCAGCAGCTCAGCATCTGCTGCCCCATCGGGGGTGGCAGCTGCAGTAGCCGCACTCAAGAGCTCCCAGCAGCAGCAGCAACAACAACAACAACAACAGCAGCAGCAGCAGCAGCAACTGAAGTCACCTGTGGCCAGTTTATCGCATCTGGCTGCAGGTGGGAATCTGAGCAGCTATGGGGCTCCAGCCGTGGCCGCCTTGGAGCTGAATGCACTGCGCAAGGGAATGGCGGGAGCGGGAGTGGGATCGGGATTGGGCGCAGCTGCGGGAGCGGTAGGTGCGGTAAGTCCGTTTTCAATTTATGAGTAGCTCTCGTTGTGTGCCCACCTCCGCTTCCAACTCAACCCCCACCCCACCTGCACCTCTAACCCCTAGTTGATTATCTGTTTCTATTTTTGCATACAACTAAAACTCTGATCGAATGCAAAATATAAAAGGAATACCTATAGTCTTATATTACTCTTATTATTATGAGTCATGCGCTGTCACTGCTGTAGTTTTTGTTCCTTATTTTTTATCTGATCTACTGTATGTTATGTTTGTAAATATATTTACTTTTATTACCTATTTTCTAACTGCATCCGTGTTATTTGATCTTATTAATCCCCGTGATGGGCTCTATGCTTCAGTAGTCCTAAAGAAAATCCTCCTGTATGTAGTCTCCTTGCACGTTCTCTTCGATTTCGACTACATTATTATTCCCATTATAAGAGATTACTTAGTGTTAATATCAATGTGGTTTAAGAGAACTCTATCTGGTATTCTTGCGAGTACTCCTTATATACCTCTGGCAAACTTTATACTAACGAGTTACTTTCTCTTTCGGTCTTCCTGCACATTCGCTTTGGTCCTGGCTTGACTCGGGACCTTAACCCTCAATCGACACTGTGCTACTTTTTGATTGCTTTAATTTGCGTTCTCGGTTCGTTTTTCATTTGTTTGTCTTCACACACACACACAAACACCCACACACGCACACAACCACGCGCTTCCTTTGTCAGGTTAGTTTGATGACGTCGACGGCAGCTTCGACGGCAACCATCCAAACCACAACAACAGCAGCGGATTCCTTGGGCACCGCAACAGCAGTGGTGGAGGCGGGAGCAGCAGTGGGAGCAGCACATGCAACAGCAACAGCAACAGCAGCACAGCAGCAGCAGCCGCAGCGGGCAGCGCCACATAGCACCGACAGCTCCAGTTGTACTAGCAGCAGCTCCAGTGCGGGAGTAGTCTCTGGTCTCTCCACGGGGTACATGGTGAAGCCGAGCAGCCAGGAGGGCCTCAAACTGACCATCAATAAAACGAGCAGCGGAAAGAGAGAAAGCAAGGGCGGACAGCCTGGATCATCTGCGTCCGCGTCCGCGTCCGCGTCTGCATCCGCATCTGCGTCCTCGTCCTCGTCGTCTTCAGCAGGCAGCAAGAAGCAGCACACGGGCCTAAAGCCAGGCGTCAACAGCGGACCAGCCTCGAAGAAGGCACTTTCATCAGCTTCGAGCACAGGGGCAAGCGGTTCTGGCTCGAGCAAACACCTCTTCCAAAAGGCCAACTCCTCTGGAAACCTGAGCAGCAAACTTGGCGGATCTGCATCGCTAGGCGGTGGCCTGCCACTAACGAAGAGCAACAGCACCAACTCTTTCCAGGAACACAGTGTGMCTAAGCGCCGGCCCAGTATGTGCAGTCCGGGGACTAGTGGTGGCAGTGGAGGTGGCTCGCAGCGGAAGTCATCATCAGGATTAGGGCCGGGAGGGGGAGCGGGAAGAATGTCACCAGCGGCATTGAGCGGGTCAATGTCACAGCCACCACCACGCTTCGATCACCACACAGACATGATGACCATTCTGCAGTACGCCTCGCCCACCATGGCAGCCAGCATGGAGGGCTTCATCAAGGGACTGCACAACAAGTTTCAGATACCCAAATTGTCTCAGCGGCCAAGCGGCAACAATGGCGGAAGTGGGCAGACTTCCAGCACCACAGATCCGGCGTTAGCTACAGGCACATCAGCTTCATCTTCCTCTTCCGCCTCYTCGTTGGAACAGCAGCAGCAGCAGCTTAACGCGGACTTAAATGCTCTGGCGTCCAGCATAACCTCCACGTCCTCGTCCACGTCCAATAGCAGTAGTGGAGGGCAGAAGCCATCGACAGGTYCCTCTGCAGCGAGCGATTTGCTGCTCACTCTAGGAAGCAGTGGCACAATGGGATCAGGTGATGGCATCGACGAGGAGCTGCTCGCCAGCTTGGCCGGCGAATGACAGCTCGAGCTGATTCAACCACTCTCTGCAATCCAAACCTAGTTCAATTAATGTGTTAAAGGCCTTCGGCTGTACTCTGACAATGAGCTGTTCTTTCATAGTCTTAAGTGTTTGTTAAGTGTGGATGGGCGCATCAAGTGACTGCCGTAACTCAATAAAATGCTGCATTATTTAATATGGCTTTGCATAGTTTATCTATATAGATACCTCTTAGTGATAATAGTCATCAAAATAAAGGTTCATGTATGCTCTCGACTGGGCTCGAGGGAATGTGTAAACAAATGCCGGGGTTATCTGGTGCGGTTTGCGAATCAACGCTGGAGGCCTGTGGTTTTGATCACGTCAGACACATGCGAAGTAAATAGGAATTGCATCGGGGTCTGCAGGTCAAAGAACTGCAGCGATAACCCCAACTCGTGGGGAGGTGCAGGGCGTGTGATCAATGAAACAGATACGTCATAATATAATATGCGAATGTATTTGTGCTTTGAGCTTAAAGGCCTAATAAATGATGCAATAGTTGCTTATGCTTGTATTAGATATTGAGCTGGACATCCTGGACGCTCTTCAGGGCGTCACTGTAGCGGGCCAGCACGGGCTGGACCTCCTCGGCAATGAATTCGTCCACCTGCTCGCTGGCACGACCCGTGAAGGTGCGCGCGTCCAGTATGTGGTCCAGCTGATCGAGAATGGGTGCAAAGTAGGCATCGTTGCGCACGCGGCTTATCAGATCATTGTCCTTGCCATACTGCTTAACCTGAGCACCGGCCTCTTGGGACAGAACTCGGATCTTCTCGTGGCACACTTGGCGGTCTCCGCCGGCTTTCACCATTGCCATGATAATGTTCTCCGTGGACATAAAGGGCAGCTCCTGGGCAATGTGTCGCTCTATGACCTTCGGATAGACCACCAGGCCTTGGGAGATATTCAGCAGCGTGAGCAGAGCTGCATCAGCAGCCAAGAAGCCCTCCGACAAGGTCAGTCGCCTATTGGCCGAGTCATCCAGAGTGCGCTCCAGCCACTGCGTGGCGTGCGTATTTGCGGCATTGCTAAACAATGTGATCAGATGACGAGCTAGGGCGCAGCAGCGCTCCGAGCGCATCGGGTTGCGTTTATAGGGCATCGCCGATGAGCCAATCTGAGTGCTCTCGAATGGCTCCTCCAACTCCTTGCGTGAGGCAAGAATGCGCAGGTCCGAGCACATCTTATGAATAGTAGTGCCCAGGCTGGCCAGAGCCGCCATCACCTCGACGTCCACTTTGCGGGAATACGTTTGCCCGGTGACGGCGTACGGCTTACTGAAGCCCGCCAGCTGGGTGACCAGCTTGTCCAGTTGCTTCACCTTCTGGCTGTCCCCGTTGAAGAGCTCGAGGAATGAAGCTTGCGTGCCCGTGGTGCCCTTTACACCGCGAAAGCGAAGATCCTCAAGACAGCGACGCAGCGCACGCTCGTCCATGAGCAGGTCCTGGATCCACAGGCAGGCGCGTTTGCCAACTGTAGTTAGCTGAGCCGGCTGCAGATGCGTGAATCCCAGGGTCGGCAGAGCCTTGTATGTCTCTGCGAATTGTTGCAGGCGTCCCACAACGGTAGCCACGCGCGGCAGCAGCAGTTTCAGTGCATCGCGCAGTACAATGAGATCTGTGTTGTCGCCTACGTAGCAGGAGGTGGCACCCAGGTGGATGACCGGTGCAGCAACCGGGCATTGCTTGGCAAAAACGTGTACGTGCGCCATGACATCATGCCTGGTGAGACGCTCCTCGGCGGCTGCCGCTTCGAAGTCTATGTCCTTCATGTGTTGCTCCATCTGAGCTATCTGCTCTTCGGTAATGTCGAGGCCAAGTGAATGCTCCGCCTTGGCTAGCCAAACCCACAGTTGTCGCCAGGTCGAGAACTTGTTCTGGTCACTGAACAGAAACTGCATCTCCTTGCTGGCATATCGTGTGCTCAGAGGAGACTTGTATCCTTCGTAACTAGCAGACATTTTTCTAAACACTTCTCTGACAATTCAGCGGACCAGCCACAACACCACCTCTCAAATAAAGATTTCCTACTAACCAGAAAAAAATACCACATGTTGCGCATTCCGGTCTCAGTGTTACCAGAGCAGTGAACTCGTCAAATCTACATATATACGATTAGTCAGTCGTTTATGCAACAATCGTATTTAGTATATTCATTCTTCACATGGCGCTCGATTTAAAAACTCATTGTTCCTTATGAACCATTCTAATTAAAGAGAAAGACGCAATTACAACTATGTAAGTATGTAAGTACATAATCTCATTTCAAAATGTTTATATGTTACACATGAATTTTACCTATTATAGTTGGCCAAGACAAACAATTCAATGCGGATAAATTAGTTAAATATTTAATTCTTATTCTATTTGACATTTTAAAATCAACAGCTCATTGTCAGAGTACAGCCGAAGGCCTTTAACACATTAATTGAACTAGGTTTGGATTGCAGAGAGTGGTTGAATCAGCTCGAGCTGTCATTCGCCGGCCAAGCTGGCGAGCAGCTCCTCGTCGATGCCATCACCTGATCCCATTGTGCCACTGCTTCCTAGAGTGAGCAGCAAATCGCTCGCTGCAGAGG